GAATATGGTATCCCAGCTGAGACCTTGTGGCCTGCCAAGTTTTGCCTTGTGTTTGTCATTCATGTGCAGGAGTAAGGGTATCATTACATGACACCTGCCCTTTCCATGGCAGCAGGACCCTTCTAAGGCACTTTCTGCTTGTGGTCTGCCAGTAAATTGGAGTTTTCTCCAAAGAATTGCTACACAGCTGGTTTATTTCCTCTCCTGTGCCTGTACATCAGCTGGTCCTCTCTCAGATGTAATGCACTGTACTTCCCTGGCTGGAATGGCTTTCTTCTTTTTGCCTTCAGATCTTTTCTTAAAACATATCATTACCCCTGGGATCATGATGTTCTCCACTGGACTACCTGGCTCTCCCAGATCTTATTGCCTACAAATGTAAAGAGCAAATTCTCTTCCATTCCCAAGGTCATTAATGAAGATACTGAACAGACAAGAACAGATCTAAAATCGTGTCCACTCCTAATAGTAATCCTTCAACTCCAAAATTCTTTCATTCTGGCTGTGACTTGTGCTTCAAGGAGAGGAAAAAAATCTACTTCATACGTGTACCTCAAATTACTTCCTAATGAAAAAACAGCATCAGAAGTGATGTGTCTAAGACCATGCATGGGTTCAGTGAATATTTGAGCCTAATTTACATCATCTGATCTCCATATCTGGGTTTCCTCACATCTCTGGGACTGTCACTCTGGAAAACATTTGAGACCAAGGCATTGCAAATACTATCAGCTTAACAACCAACATAATTACTGTGCTGGAGAACAACCTTTTCATGCAAATTACTCACAGCAATTATGCTATGTGTGTTTTACTGTAATTTTGCACTGCATAATTACATGCCTACATAGATTTATATAACTAATAGTTACTTGGCAATTAATTAAATAGCTTTTGTTTCTCTTACTGCCGATGCTTTATGACAGATGAAAACTGAAAATCTTTTGGGGTTTATGGTCTCTCAGGCTCGAACTCTGGCACAACACACAGTGATGAACATTTTCTACATGTTTCCTTAGAAAAGACAGAAAGTCCCTTATTCTAAAGATAGCATCAACTATGCTAATACCTTCTGGATAATTACATTAACAGGTTGGCCGACTTACAGGAGAATAAATAAGGACAATAATTCTTGCCCAGCAGTGCAAAACACAAGGAACATCTATAAATAAAAACTGAAGAGAAAATCTTTCAAGCAGCAGCTCAGATCAATGTGGATCTTACCTTCAAAACACAGGGCTACTCAAAACATGATGTACCATAAGAGAACAAAGCAGAGAGCTCAAAGCAATGATCTTTCTAAATAAGCCTGACAAGCTTTTATTATATAAAAACTGAATTAAACAAAAACTAGAGATAAGTGCTTTATCTGACATTTGGGATTTCAAAAGACTGAGAAATAGGAAGACATTTACAGAAATAACATATAAGGTCATCACTAACAAGAATTGGGTTTAATTCAAGATACTGACAATAATTGAATTCTAAGTTTCCTGCTTCAGCCTAGAGTTGTCAATTAATTGAGCCTAGCTTGCATGTGAACATTGCTAGAGGCCTCTTACAGAATCAGCTGATTACAACTTTTTTTTCATGAAGAGTGAAGCAGCATCCCTCCTTCTCAATTTAGGTAATGATCATCTATGCAGGTTTTATTCTATTAAAGCCCCATTCCAATTAATTCACATTTGCCAGATGCTGTCACAATTGCTGACAGGTGTTTATTACACTCCAGGTCAGCTTGAAATCACCATAAGAAGGGAAGTCTGCAGCATCAGAGCCATCCCAGGCTGCTGAATGACACACAAACACCCCCATGAGGAGAAAGGAACTGCAAAAGAACTCCATGTGCAATAACCTTGTGGGGATGGGGGAACAGAGAGGCAAAATGGCACCTCCACTTTGCAAAAAAACAGTGGCTCAGGAGTTGGGATGTCACTTCAACCTGCTTTTTAAGTGTCTCTGCACCAGCTCATACACTGGTAGAGATACATCTACAATGAGGGATTTTAATGGTTTCATTTCAGAAACTACCTGCAGTGTAACAAAGTTGTTGAATGAATTATCTCAGCGAGTTATTTTAAAAAACCCACAACAACAAAAAAATAAATCAAAAGAACACTAGAAGAGCTTGTTAAATGTCACATTAGCAAACAGTTTTAATTTATTAAAATGACTCCAGTACACCTCTGTGCTTCTACAACAAACACGCATTACACATAACAGGTAAAACACAGTAACATTCTCCAGTCAGCAGTTCCCGGCTCTCAGCACAGAAACACAAAAACAACAGTATCTTACATCACCTCCCAGCTCAACCTTCTTCCACCTGGTGCTTGGGGCACTTCTCTGAGGAGCAGGCAGGCAGCTGAATGCAAGTGTGTGTCTATGCTTCCTGATCAGAGGTGGCGAGCGCAGCCCTGCCCTGCCCAGAGCACAGAGCCAATGCCCTGCCCAGGCTACAGGCAGTGAACTCATGGAACACGGGGAGTGCCATCCCACATTTCCATCTCTCTAAAAATGGGACATCTACAGGATGGGCGTGGAGAGGTTAAATTTCTCATAGCATGAAAAGACACTGGCCCAAAAAGGTTTGCACACCTGAGTATTATGCTCATAAGAATTACGAGATCCATGTAAGTCTTTATAAAGTCTTAAAATACAGTTATGGTAATTCAGGGCCAGTCTTTTCTCTTTTACTGGTTAACTTTACTGAATCAACTTGACCTGGAATTTTAACAGCAAAGCAAACATGAAAAGTTAATAAAATCAGAAGACACTGAAGGTGTAAATACAGTGCAAGTGTTGGTACAGTCTCTTTGACTGTTACAGCCTGATAATTTTACATTCTGTGCTTTAATTTTAGGGAAAAGCATAGATGTTGTGTTTCAGAACATACATACTAGCATATATACATGTATACATCATACACACTTGCTGCAGAATGCAAGGGCTTCCAGTGGCATATGATTCATAGTACCAATCTATCACATGCAGGTTTGTTTTTTTTTTCATACAAAACCAAAACAGTTTTAGAGGTGGCCCTCCCCCTGCATATATAAGTATCCATTAAAGTGTATTCACATGCATTATTACCAACTCATTGATTTATGTTAACCAGATTTATTTAATTTTTTTTCATGTAAGCTATAAATTATTTTAGTTGCAACACCTAGCCAGAACACTCCAGTGACCACAGTACTCCTGGGTTTTATGGTAACCAATACCTCCATTGGCAAAACATTCTTAATAAAATGACTCAAGTTTTGTTTGCTTCATATTGCTTCATTTTTAAAAATAAATTTATGTACAAACATTGCTGTTAGTACACCCCAGATCTGCTGAAGTGCAGTAAACTATGAGAGCTCGTTATTCAGAAGCACCTAGACTTTTTTTGATATTAAATGGAAGCCATCAGCAACAAACATTGTATGGAGAATTCATCAGGTGGATGAACAGTGCACATCAGTGAGTATGAGATGAAACTGTTTTCTAAACAGCTGGTAGCCTTCACAAAACAAATGATGAGTGATGTAGTCAGTCCTGCTGAGACAGCAGAAGGACGTAAGAACACAAGCGACTCAAGGGTCAGTATTTATCCATATTAATGTAGCTTTGGTTCAGAAATTCTTTAAGTGTTGTAGAGCACCTGGTTTAGTGACAAAACACATGCATCTCACAGTGCTAACAGTATAATGCTAATAAACTATAAACTGCAGCTTTCAAATATTAATAGCATTTAATAAAAAAATTTACAGAAATATTCTTGTTGACAAATGTGCAGTACAAATGCAAGCTCCTTGGCCACAACTCTAATTGTGTGCATCAGTTTTGTGCTGGCATAACAGTGCAAGTGCTGGGATTCAAGTATGATTTTCCATGTTTATGTTAAGCAACAGAGATTACATGATGAAGTTTGGGGGATTTTCTGCTCACAAGGCCAGGATGTGAGAATCAAGCAAAGCAATGCAGCAAAGGAAATGTTTAATTTCCCTCATCTAGAAGGCATAAAGGAGGGAAAACACATTTCACAAGCAAACCATCTTCACATACCACCAAGTTATTGCTTCAGCCAAATCAGCTGTACTAAAATACAGGACTACAGGTTGCAATCTAATCTGCCCTCACATGAAGAGAAGATGAAATCTACAGTGCAATTCCTCCATGAAAAAGGATCAAATTGCAACATCAGAGTCCTGTTTCATAGGACAGAATTTATTAATCATTCAGTTTTGCCTGTGAATTAATTTCATTTGTAAGTCAGTTAGATCACAGTCTAAAGTACATTGTTTATATTTCTGTGTTTCTAGAGGTACTACTTCATATCAATTTAGGTCTGCTCAACAACAGAATATAATATGAACACTTGTTTCCAAAGAATTGACAAAATTATTGCTGAAATTTTTAGGGTCAAAATTAAAACTTATTTCACCAAATCAAGACTTTACTCCACTTAAAAAAAATCTGACATCCTATTAATTAAAAAAACCAAACCAAAAAAAAAAAAAAACCCTGAACTTATTAGGGGTTTTTTTTTTCAATTAAATAATAATCTAAGATTTGACAAGATATTCACATTCAGGCAACTGTCTCCTGACTCATCTGGCTGAATGACAGATGCCATAATAAAAGCAAGAACACTACTCACATTCTTCCTGACAGCAGTGATTAGTGCAATTTACCACTGCACTACACAGTTTTAATAGTGCAAGGTGTGCCTGCTGACTTTTCTCACAATCACCTGCTACATGATCATTATTCTCAGATGTCTGTATACCTGTAATTTTCATTAGAATGTTGGCATTTATGTTAACACTTATGAAAAACTATGGCTTTATCCATGAAGTATATAGCTTGCCTAAGCAAAATTTTTGAGCCATTTATTAAAACAATAAAACTGAATTGGAATGAAAGTTACTTGGTTAAGCCATAAGCTGTGTTGCCACTAAACTCAAGATCTCAGGGTTAGCTACAGAACACCAATATGTGTATTTGTGCATCTGTTACAGTCTTTAAAAGTTTATTTAAAATGTAACACTGATAAAATTTTTTTTTTTTTTACATCTAAGTCTAATAATTTATCTCATTTTTTGCAACAAGTTAAATTGCTTGTATCGAAAGTGTCATCTGAGTATCGCTGTATTACAACGTGACTGGGACTGTAAGAAACCCATAAATGCACACGTAAGAAGGCACTTGTCTTCCAGTAGTTCAAGTCAGAGAAGGCCTTACCCAGACAGTGGCACCTTACAGTTTGAAGGATTAGCAAATGTCCCCAGGCTTTGCCACAGTCTCAAAACCTGTCCTCGTGTCCCTGGACAAAGGTGCTGTGTGTGGTCTATAACACCATGAAGCTCATGACAAATTCCAGCAGTTTCTGCCTGTTGCTCTGAGGTAGGAACGTAGTGCCAAGTTCCAAAATGGTGTCTTTCCTCTGCTGAGTCTGCTTGAAAACCTGAAGCACAGCATGAACACATGTAAGCATCACCATGTTAAAGGAATCTTCCTTCTTCTGAGATTAAAATGTTATGGTCTATACTAAGATTTCCCTCATTTACAAGACTTCTTTCTTTTCATTTCTTGAAGGCTTAGATGGCAATGCCTTGAGATATTATTAGAATTCACTCAAGGTTGAAGCCCTTCAGGGGTTATGGAAGAAAAGAAATTGAGAAATAAGTACAGTGCGTGATAAACAGCCAAATCTTAACAGCGAGGGAAAAAAGAACCAATCAAAGGCATCTGATTGAAAGTGGAAGCACTGTAAAAACAAGAATTCAGATGCTATGCTATAAAAGGTGCTCAACAAACATTATCTAGTTCCACTTTTCATTCTGGTTTATCCTGCTGCTGGAAAATGATGGATTCAGTATGTGCTTTCCTCACAGCTATTCAGTCTACAGAAAGAAAGCTTTACTTGGCCAACTATTGCTGGATTATTCAATACACTGGAATTTAAAGGCAAAAACTTCAAAACCCATACCCAGCAACATTTTGCCTACACATCAATAGTTTCCAAATTATAATGCTGTATCTTATGTGGCATTCAGGAATCCATGCCAGTCTGATGAAAGAAAAACACTTCACTTGCAAAATCCAGACGGGTGACTGATGATTTGAAATACTAGTGGTAAAGTACAAAACTAAATATTTATCTTAAAGAAGACCTGTATCCTCATGGTGAACACTGAAGGTGTATAAGGATGGTTCTTCTGAAGCATCAATCACTGCTAAGCCAAAACTCAATAACTAATGCTTTTTTAAAGATTTAAGTAGACTTCAAAATTAAATTTAGCTGTTACTGAGCACAGAACATGCTCTCAGCCTTTCAATATTGTTCAACAGGGACACAGAGTAGAACAGAGGAACTTCATTTGCTGTGAATAAAAATGTCTAGTCACCCATCCATCCAGACAGAGGATTCTTGCCTTCCCAGAGGCAAGAAATGCCCTGTTCTGCAGCTTGTGGTCTCTGTTACAGCCCTCAGCCTAAAGGAAACCAAAATGCTCCAAACCCACATACATTTCCACAGATATAATCACTGATTTTAAAATTACACTGAACAGATTCCATGAAATGTCCAAATTGTGCTCATTATTGAAATGAAACTTAACAGTCCCCATCTCTGAGCACCAAACACTTACTCCAATTTCCTTGAAGACTTTCACTGCATTTTTCACATGACTGTAGGTAGCACTCTCAGCTGCAAGAGAGAAAACCCAGAGATAAACAAACTGAAATTCAATTTGGGCTACCTTGTGGTAGAAAGAACAGAATGCATCAAACCCAGTTCCAAAACCAGTTTAACATACCATACACAGCAACATTCCTCTCTGTCCTGCTTATTAAGTGCCTGTGTAGCTTCTGAATATATTCAGACTCTAAAACAGGACCACTAAAATTGTGCACAAAGATGACAGCAGAGCTGTATGCCTCCAGTAATGGTCCCAGTAACCTCTGCAGGAAAGTGATGTACTGCTGGTGCTCCTGAGACTGGCTCACCTAAGGAAAGGCAACAAAAGGTTCAGTGACAGAGACCAGTGGAAACCAGAAATGACCTGCAAGGCATAACATGTTGAAACACCAAAAGCACAAAAACCTGTACAAAAACAAGTGTGGGAGCACAGCACAAAATGGGAGCATAGCAGAAAAAAGAGGCTTATCACAAGGGACAAAACAAGCACTGAACATTACAGACCAAGGCTATTTTTTCCTCCTCCAGAGTATTACTATTTTCCCAAGATAAAATTAAAGACATCATGCTGTTCTGCAGCCAGCAGAAGGGCTGCCCTACATTCACAGAGACAGACAGAAGTTTCCATGTGTTAACGAGATATCCTAAAGTGTTTGTGTCAGCTCTGAGAAAACTAGTAATATACCTAAAATCTAGTAATATACCTAAAATCAACATAAGCAATCTATGAAGTGAAACACAGGCTGAATATAAATACCAGCTGGATGTGCCTCTTTTAGGCTGCATGTAAGGAATAAACCCAAGGTACTTGAGTCTTTTTCAGTTTTCAGGACTCTAACCCTTTGCTCCCCCACCTCCCTGTAAAGACTGTTTATGTTTCTTTAGCTATTTTCCTCATGTGAAGGAGACAAATGGACTGTACAAAAATACTAACATTGCAAACCAACAAAAACCCACCCACCAAAAAAAATTATCAGTACCTGTCCTGAATATCCAAAGTAATTTATAACTCTCACAAGAGGGTTCAACATTACCTTCAGGTAGCAATCTCTCTGCTCCTCTCCAAAATCACTGTCTTCATCTTCCTCATCACTTCTCCAAGATAATGGCTCAGGGAGTTTTTTATTCCACTGCTGTTCTGTAAGACTGGGGCTAACATCCTCCTGATCATCCTGCTTAAATTTCAAAAACAAGGTGGTAAATAGGTAAAACTCCAAATCCAGGCAAGCAATAGGTTTCTTTTATAATTTCATCTGACTTAATGCATTTATTAACCACCATTTAATGGATGCAGGTGAGACTCAATTATAGGCAGCATTGAGAAAAGGAGAGAGAAGAGACATTTGGTGAAAAAGACTGGGTTTTTTTCTTGCTTCCTCCTGGGTGTCAAGGTTTGTTTACTGTGCACAAAAAGAAAAAGTTTATGAAGCAAAGACACGCTGAATCAGCTGCCTCCAGTCCTAAGGTTTTCTTTGCACTGTGCACCTCTGGCAAACTGCACCATACAGAGACTCCCCTACAACCCTGAAACTGCAAGCTGAGGAGTTTTACAGTAATTCTGAGATCAATGCAAAGGAATTAAAGAATGACAAAAGGTCTGGACTCCTGACTCCCTGTAGAGTGGAAAGTAAAAAAATCCATGTAGCTATGCTACATTTGAAAGGGCTCCAATAATAAAATAAATCCCAAGTTTCAAGACAGTACAAAAATAGGTGTCTTCCTTAGTAGCCTTACTGGTAAAATGAAATTACACACAGAGTCATGAAGCATCACAGATTGACTGTACCCAACTGTCTGACACTTAGGAACAGAGGAGTGAAGCAGCCTCAGTCCTGGGCACATTGTACAAGCTTTCAGTAACAACATATACTTAGAACAAGTCTCACAACTAAGGAGCATAAACCACCCATAGTACAGCACACCATCCTACATCTCTGCCACTTTACCTCAGCCACCAGGAGAATGCCATACTGGATCAGCCTTTCCACAGACTCGTGGCAAACTTGATAGATCACCTGGCAAGGCTGCACAACATAAAAGGAATGCAGTGAAAAAGGGACATTCATTACACCCATTACAGCAACATCATTCCCTGCTCAGTATGAATATTTTAGATATAGCAGAATTATTTCTTTTATGCAAGCTGTTAAACTTTTATCAGCATAATCCCACTGCACCACTCTTGTGTTTATCCTGGCAGGCATTAAAAAAAATTGTAGTGAAATAGGATATTTAAAACATGTCCAAGATTTTTCCAAAATGCATTACCACTGGTAGAAAGACACATTAAATATTCTCCCTTTTTAATAGCCTCTAACCAAATTTTAGTTTGTTAACAGTTCTGGAATAAAATCATCATAAAATTAAAATTATTGAAACTCATAACAGTGATCTATTTGGAATTTAAAGGAAACGACACTTCTAAGAAATTCTCTTACGTGTTTTGAAATGGAATAAAAAAAATCCAACTTCTTTTACATTATTCATAATAATTTAGGAAATATTTTCTTAGTTAAAAAAATAATAATCAATTATTAACTCTGAAAGCAGAAGGATAAAATTACTAAAGAACTCCAGTATATGAGCTAACATTACTACCCAGACAAAAATAATAAATTTGGCTTATGCTTCTGTAAAAAGTCAAGTGCACAAGTCAAATATGAGTACAAATGTAAGAACTAATTGAAGAATCTCTAGAATTTTAAGCAACTTCTACACATAAGAGAAAATAACATCTAGCAGTTAAAATTGGAAGTATGCAGTGTCTGACAAGTGAGATAATATCAACTCTTGTCAGTGTTTTGTAACAACAAAAACTGAAGTCAGGCCATGTTTAAAATTTCCACTAAATACCAGGTGTGGCACAACATGAGAACTGCACTCCTATGCAAATAAGGGATATCTTTAGAATATGGAGCCTTACTTCCCAACACAATTTCAATCACCTGTGCAAACTCACAGGAGCTGGGTACTCTCAAAGACTTTTGTTTCTTTAGGTAAGAAAATAAATAAATGAATATTTTGGGCAAAATGCAAATACAGCTGTGATGAGCTAATGACAGGAATGATACAGAATAGGTTAGAGAAGCTGCTCTCTCAGCTTCCCACAACTCGAGGTGGGCTTCTTAATGCTGCCTTGCTCAGGAAAGGCCTAAAGCACAGCAGAAACGTCCCAGGCCCAGCCCAGCATCACCCACTTCAGCACTGGCAGGAGCAGCAGGTGGCACTCAGAGTGTGACAGCCACTGATACCCATCACCATCACACTGCACTGACAGTGAACAGACCAGAGCTGTGGCACTTGTAGAAAACATCCTGTAATTTTAAAGTAGCAAGCAGAACAGAAACTGGACCATTAATGCAATTACTTACCAAAGACACAGAGAATTCATTGGAAAGCAAGTAGCACAAGCTGGCAGCTTTTCTGACCAGGTGCTCTTGACTGATTAAACTGGGAGAAGCACCACTGGTACCATTTCTGTACCTCCTGCTCTGAATCGCGTGAAGACTGCAGGCTGGAGCAGAAACAAACACAGGCAAAGTTTAATTTTCCAAAGAGCTTTATGGCAAAGGAAACATCAAACTTCTGTTTCATTCACTTCTGGGGCTAAAAGCAGTCAAATATTACACATGCCATTCAGGAATAAAGACAGACTTAACCACTATGTTTTGTCCAGTAATGTCAGATCAAAACAAAATCTCATTAAAATACTGCTCGCCAAAACACAGCTTTTGCCATGTTGGCTCAGAACTCTGATAGTGCCTTGCCTATGGCAGTGACCAATACAAAAATACTTCCAAGAAAGATAAAGGATGAGGGGAAAAAAGAATGGGAACGTTCCTCAAACAAAATACAAGTTTGCTTTAAAATTGTTTGTTAAGGTAAATGTGAGTTGAAACAGGAAGTGAAAATTTGTATTAAAGGAAATAACACGAGAAACTGATGGGGATTTTTGTGCAGATACTCTGACTTCAAGGGTTACACAGAAGTCTTTCCCTGATAAACCCCAAAACATACCAATAACAGCCTCTTTAATGAATACATGAAGTATTCCATTGCTGTAGAAGTTGAGCTCAAAGACAGCAGGTATTGTGATGCTGGGAGTGACGAAGAACTCATTGTTTCTGCTCGTGTTTGTGATATTTACACAGTTCCCCAACAAGTGGATGGCATGCATGACAACATCATCTGAGTTCCCTGAAAATCCCAAGTCAAAGTCACGGGCTAGGACCTCCTCCTTCATAGAGAAGAAATCTTCTACCAGTCTGGAAAGATCAGTTCCCTACAAATAAACACAGAATCACAGAGTTAAACAATTTTTCTGCACAGGAATCTATCAGTAAACCACATAATCAGATATATATCAAACACAATACACTAACCAATAATCCAAAGCACAACAGTCATATCAGAAAAACTGATTTTCACTGAGGTTTTGATGAAGTAGTTCCACATGTTTTGAATTACATGCAATTATATTTTACAGCCATGGAACTATTTGGGAATGCGAGGTTTTTCTTTGCTTCTTGGTTTATTTCACAGCCTGCAGAGACATGAATACCTCAAGATACCTCAAGACCATGTCAGAAGTATCATGTTTCCATTACCTATGCTATAAAGTGAATGATCAATTAGCTGGGAATATTGCACTTAACAGAATGGAACAACTGGTGTGGAACATGAGGAAAAGACTTTCCTCAGGCAACTCCTTTTCTTGTTTTCTCTCAAGATGGAGTCAGATCACATTGTAAAATGCTTATTTGATTCCACTGTTTACTGGACTGATGAGAATGGTAACACTTCCTCCACAAGCAGGATTATACAAGTGACCAATATTTTTCCATTTGTTCTCAATTTACAAGCAATAAAATGTTCAGACTTGAAGGACTTTTAGAAAAAATACAAAACAAACTTGTAGGAGGAAAAAAAAATTCTTCAAACTTTCATGCACAAGACCTCAGGTAAACATTAGTATCATTCTGCCATTGTGATAGATTATCTTAATACTGAGAAACAGTAAAATCAATTTGGAAATTAATGGAACAGTTTCTAGAGTATTCAGTAGTGAATGTGTTTTGAGATCTAAAAAACAACCCTAACACAGTAAATGAAACCCATGTAATCTTTAATAAAAACATAACATTTTGAATTACAAAGATATATTGCCACATGAGCATTTATTATCATCCCATCAGTAATGGCTTGTGTTCAAGCACCCACTGTTAACTAAAATATCAGCACTCAGACTACCTGAAATCCACTTTAATTTAAATGCCTCTTTCTTTTTTTTAATCAGTATCATGCAATAGTAAAATCCATACTTTTTTTTTAATAATTTAACAAGGCCAAAACAATGTTTGGCTATTTAAGCAACACAGAAGCCTTACCTGCCTGTGTCTGTACAGCAACAAACAGGCAACAATGTGGGTAGACATCACAGCACAGGACTTGTCAGCAGCTAGAGGTAAACAAGATAAACTTGCTGAGCATCTGAGACATTCCAAATACCATTACAAATGAAAGAGTACCCACTATTTAAAAGCTAGTTACATGGATGTGGGCACAGAACTGTACCCACTGAATAAAATACAAAGTGTATTATGTGTATCTAGAAACAATATTAAAGTAATCAAAGTAACTTGGACTAAGAAGGCCAAATAAAGATTAAATATTTACTAAGGTAAGTACTGCTTCCTGTGTATCTCTAGTACCAAAAGGCACATGCCTACTGACTGAAGCATACATCACATAACCTATAAAACCTGGCAACACTGGTCCATGCAGCTAGATGAGCTCATATATGATCTTAAATAATGCCATTAAGACACTCAAATAGCTCCTTACATGAAGAGACAAGCAATGAGTGCATCAATATGACAATCAAGCACTTCAAAGTACAGAAAGTTTAGTGTACTAGTCCAACAAACAGAATAAAAATCTTCTACTTGATCAGAAAAGGAGTTTATTAAACTTTGAAGAGAATGGAGGGAGACAAAGGATGGAGAATTGTCAAGATTATGTAAGTCATGAAATGATCACCTGGATGGAGACAATTAGGAAGTGTGACATTACTACACAGAAAATTCATGTTTTAGCAAAACCAAACAGGCAGCTGATAGCTCCAGTGGAAGGTGTCACTGCCCATGGCAGGGGGGTTGAAATGAGATGATCTTTAAGGTTCCTTCCTATCCCCATCACCCTGTGATTCTGTGGTAGTGATACTCTTCAACACTTACTGAACAGAATGTGCTCAGCCAAGTTGGATATCAGCTCTCTTCTGAAGGGTTCACTGGTGATATCCCTGGAGTTGGGCAGTGAGGCTTCTGCACCTTCATCCACAGTATCATTAGGTCTGAATGCAGAACAAAAATAAACATGATGACATTTGGATTCTGATCAAAACAATATAAACTGATTTTTTTAATGTACACTTAACATTAACTACAGCACAAAATACCACTACAGTCTGGTAGGGGCAGAAAATATTATCAGCAAAAAGCTCTACCAACTTTTCTTGATTATTTCTTTGCATTGCAGAACAATCCATGATAAGACTACCAGAAGAAAAATTGCAAGATTTTCTATGGCTACTCATGACTTTGCTGTAACACCAATTGCTCTTTTTTCTTCAACGAATATGGACAACAGTAGAAAAAACAAATTTACCTGAAAGACAGAGTCCAGCTTCTCTACAAACTAGAAATGGTCTTTTGTATGGACTTACAACTTTCTAAAGGTACAGAACTGACTTTGCCCCCACCAGGACCACATAGGTTTGTGTAACTCCTAAAAAAACCAGCTAAAATGTCTATCTATGTAACAAATGTAGAACTAATCCTTAAGCAGTTTTGCAGTTCTGACAGTCGTCTCCTTGAAAACAAGGAGTACTCAACTCACAGGTCCTATTTGCTTTGGAATTATTCCAAAAACCTTGTGAAATGTTTGTGAGGTTTAAAAACAAATCCTTTACTTTTCCCTAAGCATGGCATTTCCCCCCCTAAATTATTCCATAAAATTTATAAACAAACCAACAGAGATTACTTAAAAAAAAAAAGTCTACCTAAATTTATTGGAACAGAGCTCATCAGGAAGAATGTAACTCTTATAATAAATTGAATAAATTGCAGTTAGAATTGCCTAAGTTTTGCACTTTTCTATAAACAATTAGATTATCCATGGGGACTTCAAGCACTGCTTGGAATGTAATACAGAACACTAAAAAGATAAACTAACAAATGAATCCCAACCTGTCCTCCCTTTCAACAATACCCCAAAAAAATCTCTACCTTGATGGAAGTATAGCTGGTAACAAAGCTTGTTCCAAAGAAAAAGGAGCAGGCACAGGTTTTTGGCTTTGGCTGTTTACATATTCCTGTTAAAAAAAAGGCTCATTATTTTTTGTACTTTTTCCACCTTATTCTTGCATGCAACTAATACTGCTATTACAGGAAAAAGGCAATTATTCAAAAATTCAACTGGTTAAAAATAGCTCACACTAAAAAAGCAGTAATAAGGTCAGAGATATTAAAAGTTTTCAACAGCTTATTCACTTTTTACTTTATGTTATGCAAAAAGTAGACTTCCCACAGCAAGGAATCTGTACTTCATAAAAAAACTTGCAATGAAAACAATACATAACCTCTGTCAGCACCCTGCTGTGAACAACTCCTTCGAGATGAGTTCCACGATTAAATTAATGAGAACTGCCTCATTAACGTGAATGAGAACAAAAGCTAGCACCCATTCAGAACCAGCATGGAGACTGTAATTATTGCTTACTCCTGCCTCCCTCAAACACCAGGAGAGAGGGAAACACTGCTGTACAAAACTCTGGTTGCAAGACACAAACTAAAGCCCCCAGGAAGCAGGCAGGGTACTGCATGCTTGGAATTCCTGAATCCCAAATTTCTCAAAAGCCAAACTCCTCTCCTTATAGGTTAAAATTTACACTCTTCTGTTTTCAGGACACTGTGTTCCCTCAGTTTCTGTAAAGAATGGGAAACTAAAGAGCCACTTAACCTGCTGGTCAGGAAAACAGCTCCTTCCCAGGAAAGCTGCTTAAAAGAGCTCCACAGCCTCTTTCACACACTCTTCTGCTTCCAAGCCTGTGCTCATAGAACTGCAGATGCCCAAAATTAACCCCCAAAGCTCATGTGCTTTAGAAAAACCTGCAGTGACACAACTACAGTTACACTTCTCCAAATGTGAGCTAAGGCACACTTTAAGGATTTTTGTCATTTATCACCATTCTAAGGCACAATAAGGAACACAGGTACAAATGAGACCTGACAGAGGCTGCTGGGAAGGTACAGAGTGATTAGCTTTCACTAGATTAAGAGGGCAGATAGCCCTCCTTTCCTTACACTGATCCAAGAAGAGTTGTTAACTCCCTTCCAAGAATAGCCCAAGCCTTCTCCTTTGGAAGTGAACTGGTATCTTTCCCTACTACACTAATTATAATGCAGTGCAGCTGGTCACAATAATTTCATGCTGTGGTAACTGAACCCTCCAAAGCTCTCCAACCCTACTGCTTTTTCTGAGAGAAATAGGGCAGAAAGAAGAACACCTAATTAATTTGAATAATGTTCTAGTAAGTTGTTGTTGCAGTGCTTAATCTTATTAAAGTCACACTAAAAATAAGGTATACTGTGGCAGAATACAGATTAGTGAAATAGAGATTAGTACCAGCATATTCTGCAAAGAGATCTGAGAAAATTTAGAGTAAAGGCAGATACTGCCACACTATCCCATTCCCTGAGAAACTAGGTAATAGTTGTGAACTAATAATGAATGATGACTTTCAAAGAATATACAGATTTTCATGATATATTACCCATGACACTTTTATAGCTACTAATTTTCTTAGCAATTTTAAAAATCCAGTGAGATAAATGCCCTTCCTCAACCAGTGCAGATGTCATTAAATTAACTGGCAAACAGTATTCAGCTTCCATCAACTCCAAATGTTGTTCAACTCCAAATGTAAAGAATTACTAGACAGTATTAGGATCATTTTACAGATCACTTGTTAAACAAACAAATAACCCCACCAGAAAGAATACTTAGACTGTTTCAAAACTAATATATCAACTCTGAGACTATTTCAGCTTAATACAGATGTGTCCAAAGATTCAAACACTCATCAAAAACAGAGATACTTTTGTCCTGCCAGAATGGACTGCATCAGATAATGCTAGTGATGATAACCCACAATGAAAAAATCAAAATAAATGTGTCCCACTATTGAAAAACCAAAAATGTCGAACCTTCAAAAAGAACTTTAAGATATCAAACTTACTCTTAAGGAAAATGGTTGTGCAAAATCTACTCTGACACACCCATAATTCTTCCGCAGCATTCTGAAGACTCCTCTAGCTATACTCCAAAGACTTTCATTCTTCTTAGGCTTGCCCTAGAAAACATAGGTGGTTGTTTTGCTTTTCTTCCACTTTGCAATTAAAAGGTTATGTTTAAAATTAAAATGCATGCAACAGCAGACAAAGCAAGCCCAAAGCTTTTGACACACCTTATAACTTCAAGTACATCTAGAGAACTATTTTTCTCTGTGGATATCCCCTTGAACATATTACTTGTCATGTCATGAATTTGCATTTAGAAGATTGTCACCTGTACCTCAGCACTCCCTGTCAGAGACATTTTGTGACTCATGGCTCAACTCGAACCCTGAGTCCATGAACAGAGGACTAGCACAACCTTTAACTATGTAATAGGTTTTCCTGCACACAAGCAGAAAATCCCCTTGGCAAAGCAAGTTGTTTGATTGCTCTTACCAGCTGCTCACTGTTATAGTGACCTTCAATTATGCGATCATAGGAGATTCCCACAGGTATAATTAGGACATCAGGAGTAGCATTTGAGAAGAGAGCATCCACCACCACTGACAGGAGACCTGCTCTAGCTCCAGATGTCTTTCCACTTCGAGACCGTGTGCCTTCCAAGAATATTTCTAGAAACTGCTGCTGTCTCAACAGTTCTTCTATGTGCTGAATACAAGAAGATTGGAAAAGAGAAAAAATAAGTAAGTATCTAATGATACTGGCATACATATATATATAATAACATACAATTATATTTCAGGTATATTGTTGGCAACCATTTCCTTTTAAAAGCAATGGAAGATCATGACTTGGCATGAGTACTTGTGGGAAAAAACCCCAGTAATTTATGCCTGACACAAGCCCAGACCTATGTGCAACTGAATTTGCATGAATATACAAGCAGTATAATGACATTTATTCAAAAAGCATATCTAGCAATGGTTGATGCAGTTGATTCACATTCATCTTTCCTTCTGGTTCCCCAGCACATCCCATCTTCCAAGATGCAAATACAGCTACTACACTGAATGGCACAAAGGATTACATCAGCCCATCATGAACAGACTTCCATTGTATTAACTGAATCAGTGTAGAGATGCTTCACAACAAAAGACATCAGTGAAACAAGCATAAGTTAACTCAGAGAGCATTAATTCCACATTCTTTAATAAGGATTATGCAAGGTGGATATCTGCTCATCCTCAAAAGAGCTGAGCATGCAGTTATCTTAATTCTATAAATTCAAACCTTCATACAAAAATGAATCCCCTTTTACAGCATAAAACTTAAGACAAATTTAAAGCAATAAATACATCTCCAAAGTGATGGAACTCACTTTTCCCACTTGCCACCCAAGTGAAACACTGCCTACAGAAAGAAAGACAAGAAATACACACCACATAGAGCAAAGCTCTGTACAGGAAATCCTTACGACCGTCAGGGTTCTGATCCAACTTCCGACGAATGAAAAATCCTCCCAGCTTGCGGATCAATGTGCTACACACCAAAGAAGGATTAGACTCATTGATTTCAGCTTGCAGGAAACTACTACATCTCCAACAAATAATTTCTTGCACACAACAGGGATTCAAATAACTGAAATTCTTAAAGACTAAACTGTATTACACTACTTGCACATGATGGGACTACACAAATTTCTATTTCACTTATGAACTGGCTTCTTTGCACTGTCTTGCTCCACTTCACTGCCTTCACAGGTCACTGACCAGGAGGTTCTTGCACACTGAGATGCTGGTGACCCATGTAAGAGTTCACCTGAGCTGGCCCCAGTCCATGCTGTGCTGCACAGCCTGCATGCCCATGATGTGACGCACACTCCCCTCAGCTGCAGAATCAGCTCACCCAGCTGATTTTAACAGAGCAATCTGCAGGCAGCTCCCACTTGGCACCAGCAATTACACCACCTGCATGGTCCTGCATTTATCTCACAGTGCAGCAAGAAGTTCTCATGAGGATATCCCTTCTGCTTGACAGAAGCAATGATGAATAGGGCTGTTTTCTTGAAACAAAATCCTTTGTTGGCTCAAAAGACCAAACAGGAATATACTTTTCTGCAGACAGGATGCTATGTGTGGATCATGGGCCTGCTGAATGCTGCAGAACTCAGGGTGCCCAGTGCCTAAAGTAATGTTAAGATTATCTATGCTAAACTTTCTTTCTTCTGTTGGCACTAAGAACTAGCATTTCAATTGCTAATTTATATGAATGCCTTTTTCACTGGGATTTTTACAGACCAGCACCTACAGGGTGTAAAACACCCTTGAAGCCAAGGCAGTCCCCTTCTTTCCTCATCATTTCCTATAATATCCAGTCATTCTTTAGATACCAAATATGCCCAAATTCTGTCTAAGTGGCAAAACATTATCTAAAATAGCTCAGGTTCTTCAGCCACCAGAAATATAATTTAAACACAGGCTCAAGGGGAATACTTTTCCACAAAGTATTATTCACTCAGTACTGTTGCTGCTCGTTAGCCAGCTCACTAAACTGCATGAAGAGCTGTCCATTCACAACTCTTTCTCCCTTATCATCTTTCCTTACTCATCTCAACACTCTGAGACTCCAAAAAAGGAATATCCTTTCTCCTTACCCTACTAAGGTTGTAACAGAGTTTCTCAGAAGGATGTTGTGATGCTCCCTCTCTGAACATGTCATAGGAACCAAAGAAGTTCTACATGACGGCCCAATAACTTTCAGATAATTTTACACTTAAGACATTTTGTGCAGTAGATCAGATCCCACCACCCCAGTCTTATTTCAAACAAGGAGAGGTTATTACCTGAAGATGGGGATGTTGAGATTGTTCCCTGCAGCTATGTAGGGTGCTTTGATGTTATGGCAGAAAAGAATGAATGTAAGCAGCAGATAGTCGATGTGGGATTTGTGAACAGGCAAAAAGATAAGAGGCAAATTCATCTATGGTGGGCAGAGAAGGAATAAGATACAAGTCAGTTGGTAAGAAACATGGAATATTACTCCTTTTCTAAATCCACTGTTGAGATTGCTAGCATCATCTCATCTAAACTGATGGTATTTTCCAGTTACCATAATTGAGTTTGTATGCTTCTGGTTTTCCTTCAGCTCAGACAATGAGAACATTTTAGTCAACTTGTCTTTAGTATTAGTTTTCATGGACTGTAGTTTTCAATTGTATCCATTACATTAACAGTGTAATCATTGTTAATATGATGGAAACAAATACTCCCAGTTTCTTCAGACTCACAGCCCTGAGACACTAATCAAACAATTAAAGTGATGTGGAAAATCCTCACTGACACCAAAGTACTGGTAATTCTATTAGATATTAGCAAGGATTTATGAATAGTGAGTTTCCCAAACACAATATTCAAAAAAACCCAGAAAAGAACAGAACTTTTTTATTTGTTTCATTTATCTAATCAATATAGCTAAGGTAAATCCTTCAAGACAAGTTGATTCATTTGAGTGTAAAGAAAATGGTAGCATTCAGGAGGTTGTTTGACCAATTTCAATAAATACTGAAAAACTGGAAACAGATTTCTAGCAAGAAATGGGAAAAGTTGTTTCTTAAAGGTTTTTATTCCAAATCAAAGTGAAAGCGAAAAATCCTGACTAGATCTACTAATTTATTACTGGCTGCCTCAGCTCAAAAAGCAGAAATTATGTTGGATGCAAGGTCATCTGAGATAATGATTCAGCCTAATAGTTAAAATTTGATCCTGAATCAAAGGTGAACTCAGAGTTCACATAGTATTTTAGGTTACACAACTCTAGGAGCATATATTTAATTATGAACATTATTTCACAGTGTTCTTATTGTATTTCAGGTACAATACAGTTCTACCTACAATTGCATTTCATACAGACTTAGTGGAACTCTCACAAAAAGAGAAGTGCTGCAAATATTATTAGAAACTACTTCAGAAATCCACCTTACTGCATTTTCCCACCCTCCCTTACCTCTGTTGCTGCTTTGACCATTTCAATTTGACCTCTGTGGATCTGGATATTCCAGAAGAAGCTGTTAAACAACTTCAGTAACACCCAGCCAGTCAACCTAAGGGAAAACAAACGCAACTCAAAAAACAAAAATTACTATAAAATCCAATTGTTAAACGAGGTTTTGCCTATGGTTAGTAGCCACATTTCAGCCTCCTGCAGTTATGACAAAAATCTTGTATCAACCTCAGTGAAGGCTGTGAACTAGGAACATGACAGAGACAAAATCATCCCTAGTAGTAAATGTAGATACCACAGGAGAAAATTTTATCTAAAATAAGACTCTCCCTGAGATACTTATATCTACAAATTATAACACTGAATAGGCTAATGGAAAAATTATCTTTTGGTCTGTGATGCTGCAGATAGCTGTTCTTGCCCATATGAGCCTGAAATAACAAATGCTGCCAATACTGATCCAAGCATTAGCACCAAAACTAGGTTTGTGAGAGAAGGAAAAGTTTGTATTTAATCTTATCATAAAATATATTCCTCATAAAGGCAGAAGACTTCTGCTGCATCTAAAAATGAAGAATAACTACTATTTTTGTTGGCATTATGCAGAAAGAGCTTGTCCATTCTTCCACTCACTGACAATAGTGATGAGACATTTTTCTTACCTGATTAAAGCAGGGGACACGTTTGCTACCATCTCCTGGAGAATTTTCCTAGCTTTTTTCTTCACTTTGTTGATAGCTTTAGGATCTGTCTGAACAAAAGTGCCTGGAGTACTTGGCTCAGAAGCTTCATCTACAATGGCCTTCTGGACTCTAATATTAAAAAGTAAAGATTATGAGACAGCCCCACAACAGAAGAGTCGAAAATACAGACAACAACAGCTAGGAATGAGCTACATATTATTACAGGAGTAACTTGCAAACATAAAAAGCATCCACACTAAACTATTGTGTACTCCAAATGCATTAAACTTGATTCAGTTTTATAAGCTCTAATTTAAGAGGCAGGTGATGACTGAATGGGCTCAAAGGTGACTACATGAAACAGTACATACACAATTCACAGGTACTAATATTAAAATATTAAGTGACTGCCAATTTTCTGAAATGGTTAATAAAGTTAAAAATTCAGGGGGAACAGGTGCAGTCTCATTTTTGTTAATGCTTTCTTTTTCATGCCACAGCAATTTCACATACCTCATTAGACAGATTTATGCAGTTGCTATTTTGAACTTCTAGATTATTTTTGCCCTTGAATTCTCAGTTTTACCCAGTCTAACAAAATTTTATACAGGCCATCTTCCCCCCTTTAAAACATACCCAAGAGACAGTAAGTGGCTTTAACACACCCTGACTGTAGCACAACACAGTCTGCTTTACTTTTCAAAAGCAACACTATCATCTTCAGATGTGATTCAAGCTTTAAAAATTCAGGAGAATTAGGAATGTTAATGTAGGCAGTGTGTGCCCTCTGACAAAAGTAGCCTCAAGCCTGAATTTCTTTGTGTCCAAAGAAAACTGACACCTGAACAGCTGATCAGGGGCTCAAGATGCCATTTAAAGTGAGGCATATGAAACAGAAAACAAGCCCCACAAAATTAAGGCTTGGTACTCAATTCTACAGCCTTTTTCCATTTTTTGCTGTACTCTCCAGGTGTACACTCAGCATACTCCAAAATGCTGCTTTCCTATTATCTGAAATACTGACAATTTCTGATGACTGCAGTATGACTTCAGTGGTAATGACTTACATATGAATTAGATAAACAGAAGTTTGAAGAGCTCTCATGTATCAATTTATTTTTCTGTGTACTGTCTGCTGTTCCCCCACTACACACCATTCATTCAGAGACCTGTAATCCTTAAACCCCCCTCTTTTACTATTCTAACAGAAACTGCAAGCTACATTCCTGAAAGACTGTGCTAAAGATACTGCATCTACTAGCATTTTAAATAGTCTGATTTTAGAAACTGACTTGCAGTTTCTAAATTAAGGCATATTTTAATGTAGTATAAATTTTTAAAATAATTAATTTTGTGTTATCTTACCTGCTGCTATTCAGCACATTTTCTGTCAGATTCTTGGCAAACATACCCTTATGAACATCTCTCTCTTGCACAAAAAGGACGTAGCAAAAGCGTCTCGCAAGCCAGCCTCTGTACCTACAAAAATATGAAGGGTATCTCAGTGTGATCCTCAAAATATTTTGCTTCCAAAAACAATAGCATTAAAAACAACTAAAAATGCAATTAAGAAGCAAAAGTAAGTAAAATTTTATAAATGGCTGTCTAAAAGCTTCTGTATCTTCCAGTAAATTGCCAATATCTTCATGTTATAGATGAAACAACTCATGCATAGCACAAAACATCTGAGCCAACATTGGCACCCCCTCAACTCAGGGTGACACTGGCCTTAAAACACCCAGAGAATCACAGCAGTACAGCAACCAAACCAGTAGATACATTTTGTCTGTCCCCAGAACCAACTCGCCAGCTCAGTGAGGCCAAAAGAAGCGAAAGTGTTGATTTCCAATTTGGTGCCCCTTTTCACCAAGGAAAGTAAATGCCCAGCTGAGAGGTTTGTCAACTTCTTCAAGGAACACCAAGTCCTCTTGGGAAAGCTGCTCACGTAAGCACAGGGTAAACTCTCACAAACACTTTGGAAAATGTGCTTGCATTAGCCATCAAAACTAAACCCACTTTTTTAGTTAGCTTTTCTTCCTTTACAGTGTCCTCAAACACCCAGTCCTATGTGTCTTCTCCATTACTTCTCCTAGTAAAGTTTTAGCAAGAGTATAACCACAAAATAATCAGTAAATCTCACTACAAATTCAATTGTTTAAGGTAACTTATGAAGACAGTCCCTTGTTTTTTAATTAACCCTGTCCTCTACTCTCTCAGTCATACAAGCAGAAACCACCTGAGAAAATGTTATTTGGAATATCCAACATCACAGAAGATGCCTGTGACACAGGAATGGCTTACACCCCTTCCCCCACAGTGGATATTCATCACTATTCCTCTCCTCACTCCCTCATTTACCAGGACAAGCCACCACTTACACAAACCAAACACCTGGGACCCCCAAACAGCAGAGATGATGTGATGGGGCAGAATTAATAGCTGGATGAAAAATTAAATTCTGGCAATTTCTAAGCCCAGAGCAATAAGTATTATGCAAAACTCCTGTCCTGTCTGCTGACCTGCACCAGGGTCTGCTGGTGCAATGCCTGGCTGCTGCTCCAGTGAGTGTCCCAAACTGAACCATGGGTGACAAAGCTCATGGTGGTTTCCATGCTGGAGCCCCGCCAACGTCTCACCCGCTGTCATCACTCGAGTTACTGATCTTGGCTGTTAAACCTCCCTACCACACTTCAGTAAATTTATACATGTGTTAAAAACAGCAAGGAAAGATGAGACAGAACTTTTACACTGCAAAAGGCCAAAGCCCTAGAGTGAACTGTAATTAAGATGGGTGCACATGCACGAGCCATGGGCACACCGCGGCATGGAATGATCACATAAATTTTCAGACCAGCTATTTGTGCTGTCAGAGAAGACTGGTGACCCTGTTTTAATTGCTTTTTTCCTTTATCCCCCTTCTCTTTAAAGTTTGAGAGCCTTACTGATTTTTCTAGAAAGCAAAGGACATGCTTTCTGACAATATTCTTTGGTAACTATGAACATATCAGAACAGCACACAGCTATTGCAGGGATCTGTCAAGGTATGAAAGCTTCTACATTCATTTTACAGCTTAGACATAATGTAGTTTAATTGGAAAAATCTGGTTTCTGATCATGTATCAGTAAGAGAAGACAAAAATGACACAGAATGGACCCGTCAAGAGACATTTAAAACTGGCAGTTGTACCTCAGATAAAGGCTGTCAGTACATTACAGCATGCTGGCAGTTACAGAGAACCCCTCTTGCTTTCTAGAGCCAGGGACCTGTGACTGTGTAGCCCATGAGACATCAGAACTTCATTAAAATTGCCCATTTTCACACTATAATGACACTATATTTCTCACTATTCTGAGCTAGATGTGTTTATATCAGAATAATTCATTAACCCATATTTTTTTCTCCTAATATTTCCAATTCAAGTAACTTTGACCATTCAAAACCATTCAAGCATTAGACTTTCGAAACTGATTTTTAAAAAGTAAAACAGTATTTCTGTTATTTTTCTGTACTCCAAACTACAAGCTCAACTCTTAAAAAACCCATAATTAATATAAATTTAATAAAGACCAGCTTCTAACATTAGCTTTCTCCCTCTCAAGCACACACAATGCTGCCTTTCTTTCTCTCAGACACTTTGGCTCATTTCTTTCAGGCTGCTGGCCTCTCTTTGTTTGCTCTGACTCTACAACAAACACTGCAGGACCTACTTATGCTAATGATTACTGTAAGAAAAACTTAGCAAGCATTATTAACTTTCCAAAGAACAGAATATTTTTGTGCAATTCCAGTATCTTCATCCCAGAACATAAGATATGATTCCAACAGCGCAAAGACCCATCTTCATTTTTGAGATTTTTTTTTTAATTATACCACACTTTTCAGAACCTGCACTCTGCCACTGAGACAGAGAAGAGACAGATTCATAAGACATAATCAGGTTAATTGCCATAAGAGGTAATAGTCAACACCTAACTTGTGAGCCAGATCTGCTCAGTAAATTAAAGGGCAGCCTGAAGTCATTCTGCATAAGGGAATAAATTGGGTGCCCTCAATATTATGCCACAGATGCTGCTGCCATTTGCATGAAAGAAGAAATAACTTTTTTGTGAAAAAAATTCGGGTTTTTTGTGAAACAGGTTTGACCCTTATACTTCTTGTCTATAACCCCAAAGGACTTTGCCCAGTTCCCAAATACACACACCCAGTTTTAACAAGCATGACACTGAAGTCAGCACCAAATCTCTGCATTTTAGGACCACAATATATACCAATTCAGTCCAGATCATAATAAAGATTTCTCTGTCATAAAATCAGAGCACATTGAATTTTAAAAGCAAAAGAAACACTTGCTACAATACCTGGTATGTGTTTCATTGATATATATGACATTACGTAGACCCAAAGAAGGAATACTAGAATTGAAGAAGTTATCCTGTAAAACCAAGGAAAAAAAAGATTGATGGACTATTTCATTACATAAAAATAGCTTTGTCTGTTACATTTCATCATAACATTTAAGATAATCCAATGTTTTTCATTTGTACTATAAGAAAAGCCAAAACCAGAGAAGTGTTGAACCTGCCAATACAGTACACAAACTCCTAAAATGAAAATGGAATTCTAATCACTATTCCCAAGTCCAATACTTTCAAAGCATTCTCTAGGCTTTACTGTGTGGTTGTACTGTTAGACTCTTCAAGCCACAATATTTCAGCAGATTCTGATGCAATATAAACCAGGACTTATCATAATACAGAACTCATCTTTGAGACAGAACTTTATTAAGCCACACTGGGCATTACTGTAACCACCAGCATTTGATGCTCAGTCTGTAGAATCCAGTTTGCCAGCAGAACAAGCATCATGTCACAACAGCCCAAGGGTCAGGATATCCATCCATGGTTAGGTGGCAAATCTCCACATTCCTGCTCTGCCTGAACAACAAACTCAGTCCAGCCTTGTTACAGACTCCACATGCCAAGGTATTAAGTGGGGTGAGTTTAAGAGCACTTCCACAACAAATATTCCTTAGCAGGAAGACCTAAATTCTACTCTTCCATAGTCCAAGTGAATACTTTGACCAAAAGGTTGATTTCTTTCTACCTAAATGATATAGAATTATAAAATTGGTACCTTGCCAGCAGTGAACTACAGCTAAAACTACTGGAACTGTACATGCCAAAGAAGACAAAAAAAAGGACAGCAAAGAGAAAGATGGTCACCAGCAACAGCAGAGCTGCAGAACAACCTCACCACCAATTCTGCAATGGGAGTCAGGTAAGAGTCATTTGTATTTTGTTTAGGACACACCATTTACCACAAAATTAAAATATATGACTGTCCTACATCATTTGCAAATCAGGTAGAAATTATGTGCTACAGTGAGAGCAGAGTCTTCTGCTCCCTGCTAAAGCACAACCATGCTGTACAATCAACCAATTGTTGCTCTGAGGCCTTAAGAGGAAACTTCCATGTTATGCTAATTTTTTTGACTATACACTGGTGACTTTTTGTGGATGTGATAAGCTGATGATGTGTTCTGGAAAAGAGAAGATGACTTGTTCTTGGTCTCCCAAACAATCAGCAACAAAGTACAGTACCACTGAATGCCAGTCTATACCTGTATATACCAGTGCTCCAAGTGTCAGGTTAAACCTCACTACAAAACTCATCCTCCAGCAGTACTGTTACACTTCAGCTTTTCCTCATTTAACTCCTCTCCAGTCCTGTGTCAGGCAGAGCATGTGGTTCTGTGAAACCAACTGAGCCAATACAGGATCTCCCTGCTGGCACAAAGAACAAGCCCAGCTCCCACCACCACATCCTGGCCTTTCCTGCTGATCTCTATGCCTCACCTCTTGGAACACCTCTAGCATTCATTACGCCCTTTAACATCCCAACTTCATGCAGACAAGTTAAAAAACTAAGATAGAGAGACTGAATGAATAAAGCAGGTAGTTTTCTGCTTGGTTAGTGAACTTGATCAGCCCTCAGGAGAGCAGGAAGGAAAATGAGAGGGAGAAGCAAGACTTTCCACTCTTAGCATTGGCAAGTTGCTAGTATGGTCAGCACACTTAAATTTGCCTCATTTATTTATTTTCTTAAGAAAAATAATGAAAAAGGCAGCTCCAAAAAAAGTATTTAGAATCTAATGAGATCATTATCTTTGTTACTGTCTGTGCAGGGACAGTATTTTTTCCTTTACAGCAGAAAGCAACAAAGGGCTTAATAGGTCATGCTCCATTCTTAAGTGGGATCTCAGGATAGTTAATTAGTCTCTTATTAAATGGACAAAATACAGAACAAGATTGTTATTTTTAATGCATAATTCCCAGTTTGAGAGGAACAGCCTAATTACTAACAGGCTAATTACTAAATGCATAAAGCCCTAAGCTGAGGATTCACACACACCTTTTTGTAAGTCAAAACACTTGACTTGTCTGTTTGAAGTAGTCTCAGTTTATCTAATTGTTTGTCTTGTTGCCTATATCATACACAGCCTTCACAATACATTTGGATTTCTTTATCACATTTGTATGTCATTGCTGCAATTTTCTGTTCTGGCAGAGGAACAGAGTGAAATAACTTCTCTTTTGTCAAAGAGGGAAGCAAATTTTCCCTCTAGCCCAGCCAATGAAGGTGTAACTGAGTGCAGTCTAAAGCTCAGGGTGTACACATAGCCAAATTACATGATGAACTAGTTGCAGACTGTATTGTGCCATTTATCAGCATTTTGCATCTTGAGCTTACAGGAAGCCTGCCCAATTCCGTTCAATAAAGTTCACATTTTAAATCAGCTTGCACAACCTCTCTAGAGCCACCATCCTGACACTGTTCCCAGCAGACAAATATCCCCACTATCACAACTGGCAGTCCTTGTTTCCAGGCTGGGCAGAGAGGCAGGTGCAGAAAATCAGCCAGGTGCAGAAAATCAGCCAGGTGCAGAAAATTAACTTGTTCTCTCAAGTACAGGACTAAGCAAGTTGGAAACTGTATTTACTCAGTGGATAGAGAATTAAAGTGTCCTAAAAGCAAACTTTCACACTTTTATATGCTGCAAATTCCCATTATTAATCTAACACACCAGATAATTTTCCTATCCCATTTCCTAGTAGTAATTCTGAGGAGCTGGAGACTTTTGTGCAAGGAGTAAGTCTGCACTGGGAGGTGGGAGACTAAGCATCAAACCAGGTGTGTGCCATGCTTTAATTCCATGACAAATTAAATATAACCACAGTGAAAGGAGTGAAAACAACAGTAAAAAACTATAGCACTTCATGAAGTAAAAAAACATTGTGACCTTAATTCTGAAAGTAAGGAAACTACTGCAACTTCATTACGCTGCAACTATGCATTATTGTCAAACATAATCCATCCCATAATCTTCTTACCCGGCTCTGGGGAGTGCATACATAGCAACATCGTCCCACAAACGGCCTTTTCCTGCTCAGCAGAGCCTCCTTCCATCTTAAAGTGGCAGATCGGAACAGAGTGGGACGAGAGTTACACTCTCCCTGCAGAACAAAGACCACTGTGTAAATATGCAGAAATATGTGCTCTGCTGTGTATGGGAAAGATTTGAGGAAGAGGAGCTGCCAGACACACACAAAAAATTACCCCTCAATTATGTAAAGTATAATTATTTCCAACATTTCTCTACCATTTAAAAAAATAAAAGCAAAATCTCAGTGTTGTACTTATGTAAGCACTGCTGCCTGAGCTGATACACAAAATTTTCAAAGGAATGATAACTGTAATTAAGAAACACCAAAGAAACTGCCAGCTGAGAAAACTGAAAGAAATTAACAGTACACTACATTCTCAATAATGTAAAGGTGCTTGCAATATGAACAATGTATTTTAAAGTTCAACTGAATATCACTCTGTAAATCTGCAAGAAGACTCAATGTACCAAAAATATCAACTCCATAGACTCTGTAGGCACTTGCAGCAGTTTCAAGCAGAGTGATATGAAAAAGGAACTCCTGTGCCTTCTCTAAAGTTACACTGTCTATCTGAAGATTATAGAACAAAAAAAATCCAGAGTGACTGCATTCACAGAACTCATTCTCTATGTTAGGACATAATGCAAAAATTGTAGTTAACTATATTTCCAAAGACCCTGATTATTTCCATTAAAGTCTACTGAATTATTGCTTGCTTGAGAATGAGAACTGGGTTGCCATTTTTAAACCACATATTTTATTGAGAAGAAAGTTACTTCCAGTATTAAAAGAGAAGTTACAGAAATAAACCAAACCAAAACGTTGTTTAAAACAGAACTTTTAAGTGGCAGAGCAATAGGGTAGAACCAAGACTGAAGACACAAATGCAGATCATCACATACTCAGCCCAGTGAGAAACTCCCAGAAAGTCAAAAGTAATGCTGAAGATGCTTAAAAACTAAATTGTGCATGTATCATATTTGGCAAGCAGCACAAACTGGCAAATATTCCAAGGCTAACTCTTCCATCTGAAATAAACAAATATCAAGATGCTAAGCCTGCCATAATCCCTCCTCTACCACCTCCTTTAATGCTAACTCCAAAACAAACCAACTTTCTAACAATGTCATCTTCCTTCTGCTTGCCTCCAACCCCCCCAGCATTTTCTTACAAAACCTCTTTTCTATCTCTTCTGACTTGCTTGCCCTTATTCCACTTTCTCACAGACCTCCTGGTTACTGCAGCTTGCTGTTCCATGGAACTTAGATCTAGCTAGATAGAAATCCCAGCTGCCAAGACATCTGCCCTTTCCCTCAACTCTGACCATGTTTCCAATTCTTCTTCTGTATCAAGTTCAAGCTCCTCCTCTCCAGATCCATGTCTAATTCCTCCTGACCTATGCTGCTAAACCATGTACCACCAGAACAGTCCCCATGTGGCTCTTGGCTCCACCCAGACCACTCTGCTGTCTCCTTTGTCCCCTCCAAATCCCAAGACTCACTCAATGGAGGACACAGATTTTTAATAGGCTCCTTATTTATATCCACCAATTTTTTCTGCCTCCTGGACTGCACTCCTGCTCCAGCTTCAATGCTTATATGACTGTGCAACTTCAGCATCAAGCTCCATTTCACCTGCACACTTTAAATTACATTACCCAGAAGAGCAACAAGCTTCCTAGCTGACTTTCTGTTTGACTTTGGCTACTCCAGAATGGGATTCTCTACATTTACTGCTATATAAAATGATTAGCAATGTTACACCAGACGACTGTAAGACTACCAAGAGAGTCTGACAGGATTTTACTTTTCTAGCAACATTATTCTTTGGCACAAAATTGAACTGTTGGTTCCTCCCCATGGTTCAAGTTAAATCAAAACCAAACTTTATCATGCATGAGAGACATAATTCCTTATCTTCATTCTTCGTAACAATAAAAAGTCCACATTCAAGTTGAAGAAATAGTAAGATAAATAGGGCCAGTAACATTCCCAATTTTTACTTACCCACTCTTCAGTGGAATGCTTACATCTACTGATGCTGCAGTCTGCTGAGGTGGATAAATAGGAAACATCTATTGTTCCAAGGGACAAAGCAGTTTCATCCATGACACAGGAATTGAACTGAAGATCACAAACTGCAAAATAATAACATGTGCATATATATATATATATATATCCTTTTTATCTGTATATTCATATATTTATATGCATGCACAGAAACACACACCCAATTTCAGTGCCAGGCATCTAGCAATAAATTAGGCAACTGGTATTTTTTCACCCTTCAGTAAAAGTTCAGTTCCAAAGACACTTCCTTGCAGCTAGAAATTGGCATGATTTTAATATGCTAAAACCCCAGCACATTTGACTTCCAAAAACACAGCACACCAACCAGCTTCCTGCACGCTTTTCTCTCCCTGCCCTTCTTCCCATAACAGGTCACTATAGTCCCCTTGTAATTTTCCACTGGTCTTTACTGCATGGTTTAAACCCCGCAGGCATAAGGATACGCATGTCAGACACTTTCATAAGTTTACTATTCTCTTGCACTCTGACCTTGCTCTTTCATAATTTGCTTCTCAAGGACACCTATGATCTACAAAAACTGTCATTAATGTTCTCACCTAATCCTATCCCACAGTATATTTTATGTGTCTGGTCCAGCTGTAGTCAAACCAGTTTGCAAATTCCTTGAGAAGAAGGAGTGCTCAATAAAAAAGCACACATCTAAATGTGAACATGCAGCTGATAAGTGACATTTCAGTCTTGTGGGATTAAAGAGAAGTAAGGAAATCTCAACTTGATCAATTATTTTGAAATGGAAGTTTTGTAGCTCATATAATGAACACAGTAAATAATTCTCCCTTGGCCAAAGAAAAAAGGAACAGCAAACATACTAAAACAACTTACTGTTGTACAATGTATCTGCAAAAGACTACAAATTAAACTGCTTTGTTATTGAGAGCCACTGAAATAAGAATCCCAGCACTTTAAAGAGGCAAAACCTCCTCTTACATCTGTCACTGCAAGGAAACTTCTATCGTGGCCAAGCTGTGGGCCATCAGGAAAGAGATTGTTCCCACCCAGAATGCTAAGCTAACACCTGCAAGAGCAAGACCTAAAACTTTAGTCCAACCTTTTTGCTTTTCCTAGTGCCCTCCCCAAGTTGCCACAAACCCATCCCGTAATACGTGCACGCAGAGAGCTCCCACTACAACCTGGAGTCCGAACCGGTATAACCATGCAGACCATGCGTATCCTTGCACAGCCCAAGTACCGAACTCATCCCTTTATCTTTGCTGGCTGTTACATCCAATCCGCCTTTTATTTAAATTAGTCCTCAGGCAAGTTACTATATAACCCTCCCAATAAATACAAAAAAAAAAAAAAAAAAAAAAGCCTGAAGACCTCTAATACTGGAACCGAAATGCGTCCCGCTCGTGCTCAAGGTGACCTTGGCTGCACCGGTATACACAAAAGATGAACTTTAAAAAATACGCAATTAAAAGCCCGTTTGAGCAGCAGCAGCAGCAGCAGCAGCCGCATACGTACCTGTGAGCCAACCCGCCCCCCGAGCGCCCGCTGCCCGCTGCGGCGCTGGCGCTGTTCACCTGCCGGCCACCGCCATCCCCGCGGGCTCCAGCAGCGCTCCGGGCTCACCAGGGCTCCCTCGGCAGCGCTCCGGGCTCCAGCCCCGCCGCTCACCAGACCTGCTATAAATAAAACCGCGGCGCTGAGCGCGGTGGGGGTGCGCAGGGCCCCGGGCACCGCTGCTGCCAAGGGGCCGCCCCGCGCCTCCACGGCCGCCGCGAGGGGCGAGCGCCGGCCGCGGAGAGTCGCCGGCACCGGCCCCCGGAACCCCGCGGGGACGGCCGAGGTTCCCCTCGCCCACCTGGCCCCGCGCCCACCGCCCGGCCCGCGCTGCCCCTCAGCCGGCCCGCGCCCTCCGCACCGCCGCTGCCGCTCCGCCGGCTGCCCCGCGCTGCTCCGGCCGCACCGCCCCTCCCGCCACGCGGCAGCCGCTGCGCTGCCCCGCCCTGCCGCCGGGGGCAGCACCGCCCGCGAGGCCCGGCCCGCGCCGCCCGCGCCTGCCGCCCGGCCCGTACACGCTGCCCGCTCCGCTCCACTCTGCTCCGCACCGCACCGCCGCCGGCCCCGGGCCCGCACTCACCGCGGGCTCCGCTGCTGCCCCAGCCCTCCCGCCGGGCCCGCGGCGGCGCCGCGCCTGACGCGACTTCCTGAGCGCCCGGTTCGCAGCGCGGCCCTGCCCGGCCCCGAGCCCCGGCCCCCGGCGCTGCCCTCCCGCCCTCACAGCCCTCGCCCCGCGGCCGTGCCCAGCCCTGCCCTGGTGCAGCCGCTGCATGGCTCAACAGCCGCTTCCACCGCCCACCTCCCCCAGCCCAGAGAGAGCAGCGACTCACGGCTGTTTAGCTCTCAAATCTGAGCTGCTGAACAGGAAAACGCTAGAAAAGTGATGTGAAGTGGTCTTTAAATGGGTTTGCAGCGACTCAGAGTTGCCGCTGCGAGCAATCGCAGAAATTTCAGGACAGGTATCGATCTGCCCGCCCGGCCTTGCAGCAGTGCCAGTTTGCCTTTTACTGAGCGCAAAAGTAAATGTTGATTGAGATTGCTGCATGTAACCAGACAAGGGCGAGAGTATTGTTTGGCTTTGGCATTCCTGGGCTATTTAAAGACAGTTTCTCTGTGGCTTGAGTTACAGCCCGGCAGAAAGGCTCGTGCCTATATTTCTTCTTTGAATGTCCAAATCACAGCAGTGCAATACAGGAATAAAGTGACAAAATAAAAGATACTGTTTATACGAATGCAAATACTCTGCTTAGAGATTTAAGTAGCAAAAAGTGTTAGTTTTCCCCTTGAGGTCGTCCTTCTAGATGTTGTTTTGAAATTATTACAAATGAGAATTGTAAGAATTACAACTGCCTTTCATACATTAAGGAAAATGCGTAGATAGAACCCTAACTGCTGCATGCATAGGAGAAGTGCCCTAGTTCTCACAACTGAGTGCCTCCAGGGAATACCACTGGAGTATTAGAGCTGGTAGTTTACGAAGAGCACTCTGCAGTTTGTGGGTCAGAAGGGATTTTGAGTCTGAATTTTCCTCCTTTAGCAAGGAAAAATACTTTATTTTGTTGCAACGTGGCTGTTGGAATAAAAGACACCTACTTTTCAAATTAAAAAATACAAGAAGATATGAGCTAGAAATGTACAACTGTGAAATGTACAGACATGAAATGTACAACTCATATAAAGTTTGTGTTTCTGGCAATAAGCAGTCCAGTATTTGTGTCTTTGATCTGGGGATCGGCAGCAGGGCCACATCCCATCAAACACTCAGGGTTTGACCCAGGGGTGTTGGAAGCATCGAAAGGGGAAGCTCTGAATTCCAATCAGAAAAGTGAAATCCAGTGTTACGTCCTGTGCTTTTGTAACTCTCTTTGTATAAGGAGCAGATCACAGAAGCATGTCCCAATAAAATGCTGCAGCCCACATCTTGATCATTGCTTCCAGCGTGAGTCTGTGCAGTGAGGAGAGTCAGAGCTTGAATCATAGAAATCACATTGGAGGAGATGATTCAAGAGCTGGATTACATGAAAGCTGAATATAAGAGAGATGGAAATTATATATCAAGTCTAAGAAAATGCAGGAAACATAAGGCCCTTAAAATTCTTACTGATGTTGAATAATTTGTTTCACTGCATTTGTGGTGTTGTTTGTGAGCTTTTTAGTAGGTACTTTATGAAAGACCCTCAATACTGCTTACCCACAACCTTCTCTAGGTGTGGAATCACATTGATTTTTTTCCCCTTCCACTCATAAAAATAGGGGCTCAAAGAGGGGACTTGTTTTCAGTGTGCTGTGGTGTAACTCACAGCAAACTCTCAACCACTGAGTGTAAAGCCAGCTTGTCTGCTTTGCTTCCCTCTATAAAAGATGAACTATAGTACATTTAAAACCTAACAGGAGCTTTTGGCTTGTTTTTTCATTCTACACTTTCACACTGGTATATTTTTTCTGGTTGCAAAACAGTTACTTCTGTGATATATGTAACACAAAAAATCAGAAGAAAAGCTTCAATGGCTTTGTTGTAATTTTGTGCAGTCTCTAGAGTCTGATTTTAGTATAATTTATGAGAAAACTGCTTAGGCTATTCTTTAGACTGTTTTGAAAAGGATAGTAAATAGATACAGTGTTTTACTTAAACAGTGATTCTGTGTAATAATGAAAAATGTTTCTTATATGATTGTAGAGCAATTTTCCCATTTTTCTAACCTTAAAAAATTTTTGGCTGGTTGTAAAATAAATCCAGAGATAATTTCGTCACTCATTTGAAAAGGATCCTGAATTTGTCTAATGGGAATTGCAGCTTAGCGAGATCTTTTTACACTTGTATAAATCCTCAGGCTTAGTAGTAAAATCTCATTTCAGTATTGAAAGCTTGATGGTGATGTTGTGTTGCCATGGAATCAAGCAAATGGGAAAAATTTTGGAATGCCCCGAAGGAACAGACTTTCAGAGCTGCATGTGCTCCAAAAAGCCCAAATACCGCTGGGTTTTCACTTCCAGAAAAGGGAGATTCTCTCCTGCTTCCATTGAAGCCAATGGGAGGCTTGCCACTGATCTCAGTAGGAGCGGGAGCATGCCTGAGTTTTGCAATCCATCTTTTTAAAGTCCTTAAACTGAAGTGTTTGCCGTGCCAATGAGTCCAGGGAGTTGATTTGCATATGATGGCCAATGAGCAGAACCCTGGCTTTGTGTGAATAAGCTGCTGACCACATTCGCGCATAGCAGCCTGCAGAGGAGAAAGAGCTGGCAGGACTCTTTTTTTCTAAAATAATGATTAGTCCTTCCTATGTTTAAATTCCTCATGAAGCTTCCAGCAGAGTTCAACAAAGTACCTGTTTGCTGGACAATTCTGTGCAGAGGAGGAGGGAGCAGGGACAAGGGGACTTCTTTTTACATCGGCTCTGCCCTGGCTCTGTTCTCTGAGCTCATTTCCAGCGATTCCCATGATGTCACTTTTAGTAATGGAGACATGTTTACAAAAGAGTACACAGCATCCTCTTTAAAAAGAAACTTTCAACTTGGGGAGCATTACAAAAGTTAGGAAACCAAAAACTGTGTGAGGAGGGAGTAAAGATCCAGACAAAGGTTCTTTGTTTGCAGTGACCGAACTTGACCTCACATGACTATGAACAATAATGAATATGCAGTTTGGCAGTGGCAGAACTCAGTGTCAGCACTATTGCCTTTGGTATACAATATATTAAGAGCATCTGAGAGTGGCAAGTGGCCACAAAATGGTCTGATAAGATTGTATGTAAAAATGCTTTGGGTATACTTAATATCTCCTTTCAAGACAAATGATTTTTTCTTTTCTATTTCATCCCCCTTATCTTGAGAACAAATACAAAATTCATTAGGAGTACAGTGACTCTCTCCTATGAAATATATTGTGTTTCTGTAATTTTGAAAAGATAAGGGCATTTTAGCCCAAGCTGCTCCTAGCTTTTCCCTTGAACTCCTTGTTACTCACATTAGTACAAAAAAGGCTTTTGTTCTAACAGCAAGATCCAGTATACCTAACTGGGTTAGACCCAGTATAACTAACTTTTACACTTCCAAACTTAGCACCATTTTTCTATCAAGAAATTACACACAGACTTGCTTTTTGTACAAATCAGAAAATCCTAACTATCCAAAGGGATTTGCCAGCATTTTAACTTTAGCAATGAGGAATGGCAGAATTTGGAACAAGATTGTCCCATACTTGTGCCTTGAGCAATTATCTGCCATAACAATGCAGGCTTCCCCCTGCCTGCTGAGAGCAAGCGGGATGTATTACAAGGGTGGTTGCACTTTTCCACTTTTGTTTCTTGAGGGTATTTGCAAAGCTGACATTCTATCCAAGACCTAATTTTATGTAAAAAACAACAGATGAAGCAACTAATTTATGGCATATAGGCCCTAAATTCTGTTGGATATGCCAAATTATTATCCATTTGTAAATCATTACAAACTGGTATGTGTGGGGGACTCTGGTGTTTAAAGGATAAATTGCATTTGCAGGTACTTCAAGTTTCACTAATAACTTTATTGCCAAGCCAAATAAACTTGTACTTGTTGTCAATTTCTCTGCAAAAAGCAAAGACTTTCTTCTCATCTAGTTCCCCCTCCAGGAATCCAGAACTGCTTTCTACCCTTCCAAAAAAGAAAGCAAAGAATATAATAGAAAATGGAGAAATCTGAGAGCTAAGGGCAGTATGGGCCATTTTGAAAAAAATGGCATCTTACAGAAAAATCACAAAATCGTGATCTTATCAAATTTGTTGTGACTTATCCTTGAGTCACAGAACAGTGAATTTTTCTAGAATAACACAACCCCTAATTAATATGAGGTTCTAGGCAAGTGTTTCATCAGTAGCTGAAAAGGAGGCACTTTTCACTGCTCAGGTTTGCTCTATTGTGCAGCTGTTGGCTTTTGAAGGACTTGTCACATCTTGTAAAGTACTGTAGATACTGGAAGCTGGGATCACAGACAACTCTTTCAACAACAGTGCACAAGAGGCTTTGC